CCCATTGTCTCAGCCTCCTCGCCTCTGTCGCTTCTCCGGACCATGGACCTCCTCAACCCCGCACCTTCTCCACCACGCAGGTCAATGCACAGTCTCCCATTAACTGCATGTACTAACTCTGTCTCCTCAGCAACCTTCCACCACGACCAGCCCAGGAGTGAGTCTCAGTGTCCGCAGCCTGGCCTTTCCCTCATCATTCCACCACTAACTGTTATTCACCTTCTGCAGCTCGACACCCGGTCCCACTTCAACCTGGTTATTCACTTCCTTGTAAGATATCCCTGTAAATAAAACTGAGCCCTGCTTGCCCTGAAGTCAGCCCCCCGGGTCCGTCTTTTTTTTTTTGACTCGCTCACCTCTGTGTCCGAGCGGATCTAACAGAAAGAACTGGCCACCATAGACCCTGCTGACTCCGGTGCAAGTAGTGCACCGTCTAATGCACAACTGGCTCATTCACTACAGCAGCACCAACACGATCTGGCTACGCCAACACAACAAGTAGCACAACTCACCTCCATCATGCTGTCCCAACAAACTCAATCTGCCACCCGTTCTACCTATCCCCGCCCAGATCCTCCGATATCTGAACCGGACATTTTTGACGGCAATGTGGAGAAATGCCGGGGTTTTCTGCTGCAGTGCCGTTGTTCGAGCATCAACCACGGACATACCGTACTGACAGAGAAAAGATCAGCTATGTCATAAACCGTCTCCGAGGAAAAGCGCTGTCTTGGGCCGAGGCTGCGGACTCCAGTGGTCTACTCATCGGTACCACCATCACGGAATTCCTGGACGACATGAGGTCAGTTTTTTCTCCTTCATCCCACCAGAGCCAAGCATCTAGGGAGCTCATGACCATCCGTCAGGGGGCTCGGCGGATCCTGGACTATGCTGTTGACTTTCAGGTCCTTGCTATGCAGGCCGGCTGGGAGGACCGCCCATTATGTGAGGCCTTCTGGCACGGCCTCAACGATAATATTAAGGCCGAATTGAACACTAAGGACAAGCCCCCTGACCTTCACTCCCTAGTCGACTTGGCCATTCAAATCGACAGACAACTGGGTTTTTGTCATAAGGAACGAGCGGGGCAGCAGTCGGCTCCCCAAACTCAAGCCACAGCGGAACCACCAGTCGAGGCCCGGGCTCATCTCCGTATGGGGGCCTCCAATGCCGGCCCCCGCCGG